ACTTCTTGATTAAGAGATGTTATTTTTCTCTGAGTTAGGAGATCAAAATTTGTTTCTCTCATTTTTTCACTTGATTGGTAACTTTATTTACTTACTTATTTTGGTGATTTTTGTCATGCAGTGATTTTTAAAATGTATTTAAATGTGTTAGTCTTTTTAGTTTTAATTCCCTAAAAAGGCCTTTGGAACCACAATATTACAATTCATTTCCATGGTTCATCTAATAATTTAGTATCTTACATTTAAATATTTAATCCAGTTATGTATTTATTTTGGCTATAATTCATGAGGTAATGTTCTAACTTTATTTTTTCCCATATGAATACACAAGTCTTTTTATATAGTTGTACAAAAAAATTTCTCTTCCAGGCTGGTGCGGTGGCTCACACTTGTAATCCCAGCACTCTGGGAGGCTGAGGTAGGCAGATCACCTGAGGTCAGGAGTTCGAGATCAACCTGATCAACATGTTGAAACACCATCTCTACTAAAAATATAAAAATTAGCCAGGTATGGTGGTGGGTGCCTGTAATCCCAGCCACTGGGGAGGCTGAGGCAGGAGAATCACTTGAACTCCAGAGTCAGAGGTTGCAGTGAACCAAGATCATGCCACTGTACTCCAGCCTGGGTGACAGAGCGAGGCTATGTCTAAAAAGAAAAAAAAAAATCTCTTCCAAATCAAGTTTAATGATACTTGTCTCAATGTTGTCAGTCCTGAAAAAATCTGTGCTTTTTAAACCTTTGGTTAGTTTTTAAAATACGCTAGACTTCATTTTGAACTTTTTCCTGAAGCTGATTATTTGAACATTTTCTTGGACTCCCAATTATGTGTATGTTGAATCTGCTTTCTCTGCCTTCTCTACATGTTGTTTTTTATCATTCATACTAAGATTATGTTAGTTTCATTTTACCATATTTACATCTACCATTCCTGTCTTCTGTCTTATTGGAAGTGACTTTTCTCCTTTTGTGTGCCTTGTTTTTTCACACTAATTTCTGTTATGTTTACATTTTTAAATGTTTGTTTTTAAAAAAATTTTTGATACTCACATTTCACTTCTTTCTAGTGTGTAGTCATCTGACTCTTGTGTCATTACTTTGTATTCTTATTTTATAGATTCAATTGCTTTGTTACAGTATTTGTTTTTTAAAAAAATCACGAGAAATATTTAAGATGATTTTGATCTATAGCCACATGTTTCTGTTGAACATTATAAATTCACCAGTTTCTCTATATTTTCTTTGTTTTATAATGTTATTTTATAGATGTTGCACTGGTTCTTCTTAATTACTGATCTCTGAATTAAATAAGTTTTTGCCAAAACAGTTATTTGGGGGAGAGTTTTATGGTAAGTGAGGATTATTTACATAAGAGGAAGAATCTGTGTCCTGACCATGGCATTGTGAGTGAGTTTTAATCCCCAGCCAGTGAAATGTCCAGGCCTAGGGCTGATTCCAATAAGAGCCTTCTCATTTACTTCTGTCCTGAAGAAGATGACAACTTCAACATTTTCAAATGAAAAGTCTCCTGGTGGTTTCTTGAGGAATTGATTGGAAATAAATAAAATAAATAGAGTTGTAGTATATCTTGTGTGAATGTATGAGTCAGACTATAACTGATTCATAAGGTTTTGAAACAGGAATTGTATATTAAAATTGGCTAAAATATTTGTAACCAGCACAGTCACATTATCTCCGTAGACTGTGAAATAAAGATGTTATACTAGACCATTTAAGTGTTTCTTCTTTCCCTTACAGCATCCTAATTCACATAGCATTCTGTCATACAATAGGAATAGTCAAGTCTCAATTATCTAAGATACTCTTTAAAAAAAAAGTGTGCTACTTTCCTCTTGGGATATATTCTTCCATTAACAGTCCATAAACCCACAGATTAATGGAGAGACAAGAGAGATGCTGACAAAAATAATGAAAGGTAGGCCCTTTATATTTTTAATTCACAATGAAATATTTTTCACAATAGCCAAAATCCATATCAAATAACTTTGATATCTAGGATTATTTTGTGTCTGGATGATACTAAATTAGACTTTGATCTGTATCATCCTTAATCACTACCATCACTGCATCTGTCATCACTTTCTCTCCTGTCCTTAATCACTTAATCATTCTATTTCCACTAGCTTTTAATTAATAGATTAGAACCTCTAAAGTCATGATAATTGTATCTCAAATACACTACATATTGTATAAATATATATTCTATTAGTCTGTCCTCACACTGTTATAAAGAAATACTTGAGACTGGGTAATGTATATGGAAAAGCAGTTTAATTGGCTCACACTTCTTCAGGCTGTATGGGAAGCATAGCAGCTTCTGCTTCTGGGGAGGCCTCAAGAAACTTAAGAAACTTACAATCATGGCAGAAGGCAAAGCTTGAGCAGGTAACTTACATGGCTGGAGGAGGAGCAAAAGAGAGAGGAAGGAGGCGCTACACACTTTTAAACAATGAGATCTCGTGAGCACTCACTCACTACCATGAAAGGAGCACCAAGAGGATGGTGCTAACCTATTCATGAGAAACCACCCCCATGATCCAATCATCTCCCACCAGACCCCACCTCCAACATTGGGTATTATAATTCAATGTGAAATTTGGGCAGGTACACAGATCCAAACCACATCATATGTATGTATTTAATTGGGCTTTCAGAAGAGAGTAGTGATACCTAAAGCAATGACCTCTGCAAAGGAAGATAGAGTAAATTTTGAGATTGATCTTTTTGGTGGACTAGGGGAGATGGAAGGGCAGAAAGGATCATGGGGTAATCTCATTAAGCAACAGAATAACATGCAAGCAAAACAAGTCTTTAAACTTAGAACCAATTTAAATTATCCAATTCTTCACCCACACACATTAAGCTAGGTGGTGTCAGGATTGAAAATAAAACAAAACTTTGTGTAACTCATAAAATGTAATCCATAAAGCTCCCAGAAAACAGATTCTAGTGTCTTAAGGAATGCTTCTCCAATACAATCATTCCGACACCATCACAGTTATGAAATCAAACACAGAGGAATAGCGGTACTAGGGTTTAGATATGGTTTTCTTGGCCCCACCAGGTCTCATGTTGAAATCTGATCCCCAGTGTTGGAGGTAGGGCCTAATTGGAGGTGTTTGTTCTTGGGGATGAATCAGTCTTGAATGGATTGATGCCATCCTTGCAGTAATGAGTGAGTTCTCTCTCTTATTTCCTGAAAGAGTTTGCTCAAGAGCTGGGTGTTAAGAAGAGCCTGGCACATTCTCCCTCTCTTTTGATTTTTCTCTTGCCATGTAATCTGCACATGCCAGCTCCCCTTGCCCTTCTGCCATGACTGGAAGCAGCCTGAGCCCCTCTCAAGAAGCAGATGCTGGCACCATGCTTCTTGTCCAACCTGCAGAACTATGAGCTAAATAAGCCTCTTTTCTCTTTGAATTACCAAGCCTGAGACATTCCTTGATAGAAACACAAATAAATAAATACAGGAGGTACAAACATAAAGGGGTAGCATGAAGGAGTTATTTTGTAGTGATAGAAGAATTCTGTATTTTGATTGTGATAATGATTATATGAATCTGTATATGGGACAAAATTGCACAGAACCACATACATACACACCTGCATGAATACATGTAAAAGTACTGAAAACTAAATAAGATCTATAGTCCAGTTAACAGCAATGTACCAATGTCAATTTCCTTGTATGATGTACTATCATTATAATAAGATGTCATGCTTGGGAGAAGCTGGGTGAATGGTGCACGGGTTCCTAGGTACTCTTTTGCACAACACTCTAAGTCTATAATTACTTTGAAAGTTTTTTTAAGCTAAGGAAAAGTTTCTATTATTCAATGATCAACATCAACATTAACTTTCAACTGTTGACCTACATTACCACAGGGGCTCCTCAGTCCTGGTGTCAACATGTTGTTTCTTGGCATCCCCACTGTTAATCTTGAGCAGACCTCCAGACCTACTCCAAATAAGCACACCAGTTGTGTAAAACCAAGTATCCTGTTCAAGATCTTTTCTTAGTTGTCATCCTTCCCTAGTTAGATTGCCACTTGAAAGACGTTCAAAGCCACCATGAGATTGAGGATCTGTCTACTACTGGTAGTTCAGGGACCCAGACTGAACAAGACACAGAGGTCAGCTGGAGAATTATAAGGTCTTCTTAATCTTATCAAATGTTTTTCAAGGATGGAAAATTAAATTCTGTCACTAACTTGGTTTTATTTGTTTGTCAAATATTTATTCAGTGACTTCCCAGAAAGTCTTGAAACTTGTGTAAATGATTCCCGGTTGCCCAGTGCCGACAGGATAAATTCCAAATCACTGAGTCGCTCACATAAACTCTTTCACAATATTTGCCCAGTCTGCCTCTCTAGACCCATTTTTTTTCTTACTCCTTTCACCATGATTCTTCTTCAGGTTACCCCTACCCCAGAGGATATGATGCATTCTATATTCATCCATGTACATTTACTTGCAGTTTCACAAATATTGCACCACCCATTGTTCCTGCTAATCACTGAGTTTGGAATGTTTCCTCTGCCATTCCTGGCATATCCCTTGTCCCAACACACACACATACACACACACACACACGCATTTAAGCACAGAAAACACCTACAAATCTTTTAAGACCCAGTTCAAGAGTGCTTGCTTTGACATATTCCCTAACAAACCTTTGTGATTTAGAATGGCCACTTCTTTTCAGCTCCTCCTATTAGCAGGTAGAGACAGTTTTCCCCATTCTTGATTCTGGAATGGCCCATTTAATTGTTCTCACCAGTTGAATGCAGTAGCAGTGGCACTGTGTGACTGCCCAGTTTCCCTCAAGAGGCCTTGCAGTTTTTGTTCTCACTCTCTTGGAAAGCTGCTTCCCCTATATTAAAAACCTGGGTCAATATGCTGGAAAAGCCATATGGAGGAGAGCCAAGACACTCAGCTGCAAATTCCATGTTACTGCCAAGTATGTGAAGGAAACTTTCTTGGATCCTCTGGCTGCAGCCAAAACACCATGAGTAATCCCAAGAGATGCCAACAGAAGAACTGTGTGGCTGAGCCCAGATCCCAGAACAAAATCATGAACAATACCTTTTGTTTGAAGGTTCTTTGATTTGGAATGATTTGTTACACAGCACTAGACAATTGATATAGCCTCACCCCAACTCCAACCTCAAATAACTGGTCATTCTGAATTCTGAAAGACCACAGCACTCTGTGTCTACTTCTATAATAAGATTCATATTTGACCATAATTATTTATTTCAGCATATCTCTCCACTACCAGACTTTGAGTTCCCTGGAACTAAAAACATTGCTTGGACCTCACATGTACCTGCATACCTAGTAAGCACTAAAATAATAATTGGTAAAGCAATGAAAAACTAAAGGACTGGCCTTCCTCGGGTTGATCCTGTCTAAGTGTGTTCGTCAAACCACAGGCAGAAGGAACTTTCACTTCGTATACTGGAAAGAGTAGTGAACCTCATGCCTCAGTGGTGTGGCTCACCTGAGGTTAAGTTTAGCAGCAGTAATAGACTGGAACTTTTTAGAATGCTAAGATTCAATAGCCTCAGATGAACAGTATTTTACTAGCTCTGCCAATCTAAAAGCCTAGGGAACTCTTTGCTTGCAAATAACAGCATATAATTCCAAGCAAAATCCTGTAAGACTTGGCTTCTAGTCAAGATTATAAAAATAAAAACATTTGTTTTTTACAATTCCTCTCTAGAGTTTTGTTCAGCATTATCCAGATGAAGTTGAATTATTCACTATAACATATAGTTATTTGCATATAACTAGTGATATGGCTGAAAAAAGCAGGATCTTATCAATTATCTTCAAATCATGATTTCTCCAGTTCAGAACCATATTTTGCATATATTTTAGCTGGACTAGTCCAACTATTGAATCATTAAGTAATCCATTTCTAAGCATGGATATTAAATTACATTTAGTTAAGGTTGCATTATTGCATTTAGTACTATTTTCATCATATGTGTTACTGTTAATATCATGTTATCTTTAAAATAATCACTAGCATGAAGTTGGGAGGCAAAGAAAGATTGAGTAAGGGACTTGGAAGAAGAAATTTTCAATTCTTGTTTTGCTTTGTCAGTGACTTGCTCTTGGTCCCTTTTCATCTTAAATATTTGTCCCTAGTTTCTTTACTGGCAATGCCTTTTAATGAGAAAAGAAATGTTTTAATTAACCACAACAGTATTTGTTTATGTTAATTTAAAAATTACAGCATTTGCAAAATTTTAACTATAATCAAAATCAACAGCTAGCCTAACTTTTAAAAAGAATTCAGAATGCCTTATTGATATCTATTGGAACGTTTCATATTTGTGATCCATTTTACTTTCTACTGTTGAACAGCAGATCCTTCTGGCTCAAGAAAGGCTACAAATCCTTATTATGTTGCTGTATTTTTGGCAAAATACAAATCAAACTCCATATTAGTGAGCCTGTATTTATTTGCAAGAAAATTTAATCCATATGATTTTGAGTCATTGTCACTTATAGTAATACAAGCAAATCATGCTGCATAAGTGCTACTTGATTTCCAGGACTCCTTTTGAGCCATCTTTTGAGGTGGTCTTTTTTATTTAGGACAAGAAGGTTTATTTTTACTGGTTGAAAAAAGGCTCAAGCTTGAGTAAAAATATGGGCATTCATCACAACAGAGGATGAAAAACAGACTTCTTCAGACAAGTAACAGCGTAAGTGTTGAGGAGTGTTCTAGACAGATAGAGTGACTCAGCTGTGAGGTGTACACTTTCTGGGCAAAGATTAACCCTCCTGCCAGCATAGGCCAACAGTAATAAGCAAGTCAACTTTTCTTTTCCACGTTGTCCAATGTAGATAACTGGTGACTGAATTAAAAATACAAATCAAATTATTGTAAAGTGAACGTTTGTTGATTTTGTAACGTTTATGTAGGTGGGAGAGCCAGGGTTTGAATCAGTCTTGTGTTCTCTGTTGAACTGGGTGCTGAATGGAATCCACCTCAACTGGCTAGTCCTCAAACTTCATACCAGAGCAATGAATCACCTTCAAAGCTAACTCAGGGAGCATACTGGCTCCAAAGACCATTAACCCTGGGAACTCCGCAACTGAAAGGTGGGACTGTTGAGATTTAGAACTGCTGGCTTGGAGTTGTGAGTCATGTTTGAATGCCAACAACCTGGCATAAATCACGGAAGCACTTGAATTTCACATTCATTGCTTACAACAGTGTGAAAATTGCTCAACATTTATGGCAGACATGCATTCCACAGATATAAAAATAAAACTTCATTAGAAATCTTGATCTTAAATTTAGACATTGAGAATTAAATTCCAGGAGAGTCAATCTTTCTCAAACCATAAATAAGAAATAGAGTGGTTCCACTGTTTAACTTAACATTTCTTTTTCATAATCTATATGGCCAAAAATCTTAATCAAAAGACCTGACATTTAGAGACAAAAAACATAGATTTAAGACCCTATGCTGCTGATCACTAGTTAACTGATGTTGGAAAATCACAAAATTCTCTACTTTAGCTTAGTTTTTTCAGCCTAATGTGTATCATAGGGTTAACATCAAGATCCAATGAGGTACTATGTCTAGAAACCTTTTAGAGTCATTAATTTAGAGTCATTCATTTATTCTTTGGCTTATATATGCAAAATTGAGAAAAAGGCATTAGCACAAAACTTCATGTGACTAAAACCCAGGAATCTCTGAATATTTTTAACCTCTGTAGGAAAATGTTGTAAGATCTATAACACTGCATTTCAATCTGTTTCCAGGCATTAAGAACAACTATTTATTTGCTTCATAACCCAAATTCATGCTCCCCAATAAAAACTGAGTATCTAACATTAGGGTATAAAATGCCAGCTGAAAGAATATTCACAACCATATACAACGAAGAGTCACACTTCCAAGAAGAAAGCCAACGTCCCACTTCAGCATCAAATCTAAGACCCTGCATTTCGCTTTCTCTGTACCAATATCATAATTTGTTGGTTAATCTCTTGGTTTTATTTCAAAAATGAAACTATATTTAGAGAGGAAACAAATTCTACAGCTGCTGTTGGATGCAAAAGATCTTTTTCTTTCTTGGATGCTTTAGATTCGGACAGAGAAAGGTACATATTTGAACCATATGTGAATTTAATATAATGTATTAGCTTTGATTGTGCCAGAGTTCCCAGAGGGCTCCAGAAATCAAAGGATGTGGCTGGTCACCCTAATTTTGGAGACTTGAATGCCTTTGTTCATAGTAGGAATCCAGAACAGAACGTAGCAACTTCTGTTCCTCATGATTTCATATACTCCATCCATAATCATCTGTCCTAATTCCAGATGCTAGTTTGGTTTACCCTATGGTAGCAAAATCAGTCAGTTTTCATTTTCTCAGGAAGAGAGGAGACTACTGGCAGGAGGAAGTGGAAGGCAGGGTAGAATGATAAAACCATGTATGTGAAACATGGCTGCTTAGCCCAGTACTAGCAATAGCAATCATTTTGCTCTCTCTCTTCCATGTCTATTAAGTGAGAGTTTGGCTTGGTTGATTTCTAAGATCTTTTCTATGTCTGACAGTGAGTAATCTTATCAAATTCTTGAATTAGGCCACCACATAAAGATGAATTAATGCAAAAATGCTTGCATAAATGAAGGTATGGCACAAACGAAATATAAAGGAGGGAAAGAGAGCTATACCATTTTAATGCAATCATGATTTTGACTTCAGTACACTCTGGAATCTACCAATCAACTCACAATATCTTCTTCCTAAGGCAGGCAATTCAGTAGTGGACATAAGAGAACTAGTGTATCAGTCAGGATCCTCTATAGAAAAAGAACAAAGAGAATATGTAAATTCACCTTTGTTTGTTTGATTGATTGTTTGAGTAGTTGCCTCATCCCCCAGTTGTGAGGACTGTCAAGTCTGAAATGCATATGTAAGGCTCACAGTGTGGAAACTCAGGTAGGATTTGATGCCACAGATTTGATGCTGGGGCCTTGAGACAGAATTCCTCCTCCAGGATAGCCCTTAGGCTATTCTTCAACAGATCAATGGTTCAACTTACTGTGCTGTTCAGCTTTCAATGGATTAGATGACATTCATCCACATTATCAAGGTGAATACCCTTTACTTAAAGACAACTGCATCAGCAAAATACCTTCACAGTAACACCTAGACTAGCATTTGATTAAATAACCTGCTTTTCAGTTGAGTTAACTCAGAAGACTAACCATAACAACTAGTCTAGTGATGAGTTAAAGACTATTCCCTTTTCAATAAGACATTAGGGATTCCGCAAAATAGAGTTAATGCTCTGAAATTTGTCGGATTTGTAGCAGATCTTACATTTCTGCCAGTCAGTGTCGATGTTTTCTTCATGCATCTAGTTTTCACTTTATTTAGTTAAAGATGCCCAAACCACTTGGTGATTGAGCAGATGACTTTGTTTCCAATGGCATTATGTATAGGAATATTTTAATAGGAACTTGTTCATAAGTCCACCTTTAGGCACATTTTTGAATATTTTAAAAATTACAGAATTTTTAAAATCAAGGGGCATAAACATATAGAATCTTAGAACTGCATGGGCCTTCAAGATTATGTCGCTCTACTTTTCACTCAATGACACAATATCTTCTCCCTTAATGCTGAAGTTTTTAGTAGAATATTCCTAATGATGGGTAGATTACTACTTCAAAAATCAGCGGATTCTAAGTTTTAAATAGCTCATTATTGGAAAGATCTTTCACAAGATGGCCTGTGTCTATCAACCTGATAGTTCCATTCATTGACCATCTCTCTGCTCTTTGAAGACATGTATGATAATCTATCATCTCTATAAATCCAATCCTAGTTTCACATGTAGTCTCTAAAATATATGTAAACAGCTTCTGGCTTCCTTCACCATGCCTCAGGTGGCACTATAAATTGCTTTCACTCTCTCCCTAATCCCCACTATGCTCTAAAAGTAAAAAAAAAAAATAAAACGGAGTATTAATTCATCAGATGTTTATGGAGTTGAATCTATATGTCAGATGCTAGATGAATTTCTGGCATTGTGCTATTTATCTAAAAAACTCACACAAAGGCATTTTTAGTCAATGTCATAAAGCCTTAAAATGAATTTAAGGCCAAGATATGGGTATCTATGCTTTTAGAATAACTAAATCTTGGTTACTCCTTTGCAAGAAAAAAGGCAAAAGCCATGTTAATAAATGAATAATACGTTTTTATGCAAACTAGATACTCATCATTGGAAGGAAATTAATAGCAATGTTGGTGAACTATGTTTGGGTTTAGGAATTTAGGAGAAAATCAGAGAACTTCTGGAGATAACCATTTTCTTTTCCTCTTCTTCATCAATCCAAACAGAATCAGAATCCATCCTTCTTTTTCCTAACTGGAATTTGAGAGGCACAAGAAGGGAGCTAAACACGCAGACTTCAGTATCTGGTGGAAAGAGATAAGGTGTCTCAAGGAAGGTTAGGTAAGGATGGGGTGTCAGGGACATCTGAATAAAAAAAGAGTTTAAAGGAGAAGCACAATGATTAAAGAGAAGAGTGCTTACAATCTTCTGGAACACCTTCCCTTCCCCGTAATTTCTTAAATATCTCAGTAATATTTTATAATTACTAAAGATATTTCTACAAATGGGAACATTTCCTTATATGTGTTTGTTCAACCTAATTCAATATGGTGGTTAAAACCTGTATATGAATGTTTAGGGCAGCTGTATCCATAATGACCAAATACTAGAGCAACCCAGATGTCCTTCAAAAGATGAATGGTTCAGCTAACTGTGCTGCATCCACAGCACGAAACATTCACTACTCAGTGATTAAAAAAAAAAAAAAAACCAAACTACCGATACACGCAAAACTTTGTATCCAAGGAATTAGGCTGAGTGAAAGAAAAAACAAAAGCCAGCCCTGAAGGCCTACATACTATTTGATTTCATTTATACAATATTCTTTAGGTGACATAATTAGAGAAATAGATAATGGATTGATAATTTTTACAGACTGAGGGAGGTGGTAGGAAACTGTGGCTACAGAAGAACAATACAGAATCTTTGTGATGACAGAACTCTTCTATCTCTTGGCCGTATCAATGTCAATATCCTGGTGTAATATTATAAGATGGTTTTGCGAGATATTACCATTGAGGAAGACTAGGTAAAGGTTACATGGGATCTTTCTGTATTATGTCTTACTGCTGCATGTGAATCTATAATTATCTCAAAATAAAAAGTTTAATTTACATAATCATATGGGCATATTTAGGTCTGCGTCTGCATTATCTATTCTGCTCTGTTTCTATTGATCTATGTCTGTCTCTCCACCAATTCTACACTGTCTTGATTACTGCAGCCTTAGTAAGCCTTCATATCAGGTGGAGTGCTTCTTCCCACCTTATTCTTTACTTTCAAGATTGTTTTCACATTTCTAGGCTATATATCTTTTCATATTAATTTTCAAATACATTTGTATATGTCTACAAAATATCTTGCTGAGATTTAGATAGGAATTATATTATACCTATAGATCAATTTGGGGAGAATTGACAATTGTATTATTTTGAGTCTTTTCAATTCATAAACACAGTATTCCCATTTATTTAGCTCTTCTTTAAGCTTCACAGCGTTTTATAATTTTCAGCATAAAGAGATTGTACATATTCTGTTAAGTTTATAGCTAAGTATTTCATTTTCTTTACAGTTATTTTGTAAAAGATTGTGTTTTGAATTATGTGTCTAATTTTGATTTTCAGTTATTTGTTGTTAGTACACAGAAATGTGACTAATTTTTGTGTGCTGATCTTGTATTCTGAAAACTTGAGGACTTTTTGGGAAGCAGGTACCTTGAAATTTTCTATGTAAATAATTATGTCATCTGAAAATAGGGACAATTTTCTTACTTTAGAAACTTCCAACTTTTTGTTTGTTTGTTTCGTTTGCCTTATTGTAATGGCTGAAACCTCTAGTACTATGTTGATTAAGATTAGTGGGTAGATATCCTTACCTTGTTCCTAATCTTGAGGAGAAAATTTGGTGAGAAAGTCATCTACACTTAGGTTTGATGTTAGATAAAGGGTTTTTGAAGATGCTCGTTAGTAAGTTGAAGAAGTTCCCTTCTATTCCTATTTTTCTGAGTTTTCTTTTTCAACCATCCATGGATGTTGAATTTTGTCAAATGCTTTGCTCTATATTGATTTATATGATCTTGTGATTTTTCTTCTTTAACATGTTGATATGGCGGATTATACTGATCAATTTTGAATGTTAGATCGGCCCCACATAGTTGGAATAAAGCCTGCTTAGTCATGGTATATAATTCATTTTATATATTGCGGTAGTTGATTTGCTAATATTTTGTGGAGGATTTTTGCTATGAGGAATAATTGTCTATAGTTTTCTTTGTTTTTTAAAATTTGTATTTTCTTTTCAGTTTTTGGTATCAGAGTAATTCTAGTCTCAAAAAATGAGATGAAAAATATTATCTAAAATTAGTGTCAATACTTAAAAGTTTGGTAGCACTCTCCTGTGAAACCACCTGGACTTGGACATTTCTTCCTCAGGACATCTTAATTACAAATTGAATTTCCTGAATGGTTATGGAAATATTCAGACTGGCAAATCATCTTAGCTGAGTTTGGGTGGCCGGTGGTTTTCAAGGAACTGGTCTATTTTTTCTGTGTTGTTGAATTTATGAGCTTTCAAAGGGTTAAGACATATGAATAGTCTGCTATGGTATAGCCAGCCTCCAAGAGGAGCCTCAATGATTCTTGCTTTTTGCTATTCACACTCTTGTGTAGTCACCTTGCACATTATACTGGAGTTGGCCTGTGCGAAATACAGACTGTGTCAGAAATGGCAATGATGTCTCTTCCAACACTGGGCTGCAAGACGTTGCAGCTTCTGATATAGTCTCTGTCTCTGACTATGGCTCTGAGGAAAGCCGCCTGCCACACTGTGTGTAGCTCTATGGAGAGACCATGTGGTGGAGACGTCAGCTCTGTGAGTGCACCATCTTGGATATGGATTCTCCAGCTCAGTCAAGGTTTCAGGTGCCTGCAGCTCTGGCCAACACCTTGCTCACAATTTCATGAGAGACCATGAGTCGGGTCATTCAGCTAATGATTTTCCTTTTTCTCCAGTTTTAATTATTTGATCATTGTTTTATTCATTCATTTACCCATTCCTCCATTAAGTAAATATTGAATAGACCTCTGCTATATGCCATACATTGTCTTGGGTCTGGGAGTAAAAAGAATGTTAAACAGATTATTAAATAGAATTTTCCTTTTGTCTCAGCCCCAAATTAAGGGGCAATAGATAATTGCCCCTTTCTCCTAAAGATAATATCATGGAATTACAACATATACCTTCTAGGGCTTAATAAAAAATAGTAGGATTAGTCCTGTGCCCCTCAAGCCAGGCAGCTTCTGGAGAAGCAACCAGTTTCTACAAAGCACAGGCCAGAAATCTAAAAGGAATTCATAAGTGAGAGTTGTTAGAGTAGGAAGAGCATGAGAAAAAGGCTCTGGCCTTTCTCCTCTCCTTCCCATTGGGAGGGTTTCCTCACCACCCCCAACCCTACTGGAAGGATTTTCCAAGAGGGTCTCCACAGAGATGGAGTTGAAGTGCCTCAAGAAGATTGGCAACTTATTCACCAGCCTAATGAAGTGGAGCTGCAGAATCACTTATGCTTAAATTAGTACTGCTGCTGAGCTGAGAAATTTCACCCAGGTATGACAAGCATGCATTGGGGTTTAAAGGTTATAGGCTAGAATGAAAACCAATAACTGCTTCTTTTATGGTGCATTCCTAAGGCAGGAGACTGTCTGGAGTAGCTGCCATTGTAAAGAAGCAAAGAGTGCAGCAGTAGCCAGCACAGCTTCTATGCACCTGTCTCCAAACCTTCATCCCTTTCCCTTCCTTCTCCCTGGGAAGTCGGAAGCAGCAGAGAGAGGAAGTAAAGGAATCATGGAAAATTAAACACTCCCTACCTACACACACACACACACACACACACACACACACACACACACACACACACACGATCCCTGAACAATGAGTTAAATCTGAATTTGGATAGAGCAGAGAAATAGTATTGCATATGAGATTTGAGGTTTCAATGGATTTAGCAATCCCAGAATGCGACCACAAATGTATGAAATATGCTTGAGCTGTGATAAGAAGTGGGAAAGGAAGATACAAAAGAACATGTCTGAAAATAGTTATTAGAGAAGAATAATTTTTGTTCCTGTCAGAATTCGGGTCTTCAATGAACAAGTTAATCAACGATGAATGAAAAGTAGAGACACTGTCTTCCTGGCGTCTGGAATCTTTTCATGTTGGTCTTTCAGTCCCTGGAATTCACAATAAGGAGAAAATCACTTACAAGATATTTTCTTAGCTGTTGACTTGATCTAGGAATATACCAGAATACAGAGAGGGAACAATATCCAAAATGGTGTGAAAAGAAAATAATTGTGGTGAGGGGGAAAAAGGGCCAAGAAAAAAACAAAAAGGAAAGGGAAATTGAAAACCAGAACACAAGGCTCTGCTGAGTGTCACAGGAGCTGACTGCCTCTGTCTCTTCCTTAATCCACTTCTGCCAAATGAATACAATTCTCTCCCTGTCTCAGCAGCTCATGTGCGCCTTGAGTTTACATCCGTGTATCTGTAATGGTGGGCACAGAGTAGGGTGAGAAGAGGAAGAATAGAAGGGATTATTTAAAAAGCAAGTTTTACAACCGGAAAGTATTGGAAGAGGCAAATCATGGCAACTCTGGATGGTTTTCCTAAAACCCCGGAGAGAACTGAGTCTAAATAAGCTAAAATTTTCTCTAGATAAGAAGTATTTTTCCTCTTGGAGTCGCAATGGTCCCTTGCATCATAAATGAAGCCAGGAAAAAAAAAAAAAAGTTATGTTGAATAGAACTTGGTAAACTTATCAGATGCCAAGTTAAATGATGTGACATTCCACCTCTAGCAATAAGAAAGCTGTAACTTTGGACCTATGAACACAGAAGTGTTACAATAATTGTTCAATCACACCCTATTGGTCTAAGAAAAATAACTTGCCTTTATAAATTACTCACTAGCAGGAAGTATCTCAGCACTGAATGAATTTCGCTTTATTTTCACTAGTCTTCAAATAAAATCTCTTCATCATAAGATGCTGAAATGGACAGGACTGTTCACGAAGTGGAATTTAGGCCGGGAACAGTGGCTCACACCTGTAATCCCAGCACTTTGGGAGGCCAAAGCAGGAGAATCATTTGAGTCCAGGAATAAGAGACCAGCCCGGGCAACATGGTAAGGCCCCATCTCTACAGAAAATGCAAACGTTAGCCAGCGCAGTGGTGCAAACCTGTAGTCCCAGCTACTCAGGAGGCTGAGGTGGGAGGATAACTTGAGCCCAGGAGGTTAAGGCTGCAGAAAGCTATATAACTGCACTCCAGTCTCGGCGACAGAATCAG